CACACCCTTCCTGATTTTGAATCGTGCAGTGTTCCATTACTTTGTTCTGTCCCCATAACTGCTTCTTGATCCAAGTACACGTTCCAAATAAGCACAACACAGTGTTCTGGAATTCTCGTTCTTCTCAAAGCTATCCATTGTTTATTATGATCCATACAATCAAATGCCTTGGCATAGTCAATAAAACACAATGAAACATATTTCTGGTATTCTCTGCTTTCCACCAAGATCCATCTGTCATCAGCAATGAAATCCCTTGTTCTACCTCCTCTTCTGAATCTGGCCTAAACCTCAGGCAGCTACCTTTCAATGTACTGCTGAAACTTTTGCTTGATGATCTTCCATAAAATTTCACTTGCAATGACATTCTGTTGGGTCACCTTTCTTTGGAACGAGTACACATATGGGTCTCTTCCAGTCAGTTAGTCAAGCATCTGTCCTCCAAATTTCCTGTCATAGATGATTGAGTGCTTCTAGTGCTCCATCAGCTTGTTGAAACATTTCAATGTGTATCCCACGAATTCCTGGAGCCTTGTTTTGACTAATGCTTTCACTGCAGCTTCAACTTCGTCCATTAGCACCATTGGTTCTCATTCATGTGCTACCTCCTGAAACAGTGGAGTGTCAACGAGTTCTTTTGGTACAGTGATTCTGTGTGTTCTTTCCATCTTTTCTTCTTTTCTCCATCTTCTTTTGATGCTTCCTGCATCATTAAATATTTTTCCCAAAGAATCTTTCAATATTGCAACTCAAAGCTAGATTCCCCCCGTCCCACCCCTGAGCTCTATCAGTTTTAGATATGCTGAGCATGTTCTTCCTGTTTGGTTTTTTAGCTCTAGAGCTTTACATAGTTCAGTATAATATTTTAGTCTTCTTGAGCTGCTCTTTGAAATTTTCTCTCTCTTTTCTTTTGTAAAATAAAACAGTTTTATGACAGCATTGGCCTGAGATGAAAATGTGAGTATAAAATAAATTCTAATGTCTTGTCAAGAATAGCAGCTACAGTCAGGCAGCTCCGCCAAGCACATTAAATCTAATCAAATCACGCTCACATTCTCCTGACACTAGCAATGATTTAAAAATATGGAACGCTTCACGGATTTGCGTGCCATCCTTGTGAAGGGGCCATGCTCATCTCTGCATTGTTCCAATTTTAGTATATGTGCTGCTGAAGCGAGCACCCTGAAATTTTCTATTCAGCTCTTTGAATTCATCATGTCTCCCATTGCCCTTGGCTGCTGCATGATTAAGAGCAAATGTCAGAGTCTCTTCTGACATCCATTCAGATCTTGTCTTTCGTTCCGGTCTTTTTAATGACCTTTGCTTTCTTCATGAATGTCCTGTTGATGTCCTCCGCAGTTCCTCGGGTCTTCTTTCATCAGTGTTCAATGCATTAAACTCTACCCTGAGTCTTTTCATTGTAGCTGCTAATATATTGCTGTTCATGTCACACAAATATATCAAATTCATAATTTATTATTGTGCACTAGTAATAAATAGGTTGCATTCTGGCTTGTTTGCATCTGTCACAGACACACCCTTGTGTCATCCTATCTCAAATGTCTCCAGACCCTCCACTTAAGTTCATAATCACCCCACCCATGGGTGGTGAGAATAAGTGGTTCTGTGTCACTGGAGACTGTGACCTGCAGAAAACCTCTGAGAGAGTAATACTGAGTTTGGTTGAATAGTATTGGAGGCGTTTAAGTTGCTCCGCCAAGTGGACCGTCTCCTGATATCCTGAAGAAGGGAGCAATTTGCACCTGTATCCTTGGAAATGAACTGTGCCCCAGGGTTGGCCTGGGCATAGGATGGGATTGGGTGGGGCATATGTAAGACTTGTGGTAACTCTGAGAAGGCTCTCAGGGACCAGGATGGGAGGGATCCTTCCCAAGGGACAGTTTTGCTAAGAAACCATGAGGTAGCCCTTCCAGCTGACAAAATTTGGGGCTAGGACCTTCTTAGGAGGGAAAGGGAGTTAGTGGTGCCTACTGAGTGACAGAGTCACCGGAGAGGAAGGGAGTCGTCACTGGCAGGAACTAGTGGGGGCTTTTCCCAGGCAGCTCACCACATCTGATTCAATCTGTTTTTGAAAAGGCCAAGGAAAGTGTATTTTCAATCAATCCTAGTGATTTCAGCTTGCGGAACGGATGAAGCTGGCTAACAGAGCATGACAGAGACTGGGTTGTTTATCCCATTGCTACCCAGAAAGTGAGGGTGTGGGGCCTGTCAGAGGCGAGAGAGAGAGAGGCCAGAGCAGGAGACTCTGCCCTAGGACAGGAAAAGAATCAAGTCAGGGAAACAGAAAGCCTCGTGGGGACTCCACACTTCTATCCGGGCAACCTTTAAAGTGCCTTTTCCCGCCCCTCCCCTGCATTTCAAGAATAGATGTTGGTAGTAGCTATGTTTCAGCAGACACTACTTTGCCCTCTTCCTCAGACTGGCACCTCTCATATCTGTGGTGTCTCGAAATGTCATTTTAAGCCCCCTTAGACTTAGACCCTGGGGCAGGTGCCTCCCTCTTCATCCCTTTACATGTGCCTCTGGAGTGCTACTAGGCTTGAGGAGGGCACTGGACTGTGCCAGGCTAATGAGAAGTGCTCAGTGATGTCCCTTCAAATAGAACCCAGGACACAGGCTTCTGCCCACTACCACCCCAAGCTCACCCGAAGTGGAAAAACAACCCTGGTCTTTTAGGACAGGAAGAGGAATACAATGGAGTTGGGCAAAAGTCCATATACATTTTTAAACTAGGCACCAAAAAGTCCCAGCACAGAGGAAGGTTTTTTTTATCCTCAAAGGACAAGGTGACTTATATGGTTTGAATCAAGCCCTTCCACACCAAAAATGTGCCAACTTGATTCTCAATGGTGTGGCAGTTATGGAATAATCCCCTATGATGTATTAGTCAAGCATGTGTAGGAGGATCAGGGTGGGTACGCAACACCTTACTCTGGTCACAACCCTGATCCCATGTCAAGGGAGTTTTCCCAGGTTGTAACCTGCACCACCTGCTATCTTACAAGAGATGAAAGGAGAGAGAATCAAGCAGAGAACAGGGAAGACCTGATTACCACCATGAAATAAGAGAAGCAGAATGCATCCTTTGGACCCAGGGTCCCTGTGCTGAGAACCTCTTAGACCTAGGATTGATGCCAAGGCACGTGTGGCTCCCCAAGGCCCACAAATGTTGAAAGGAGTCAGGGATCTTCCTCCAGATATGACAGACAGAGAAAGCCTTGTTTAGTACGTTTTTGAGACTGGGGGAATGTAGGATGTGAAGGAAACTGCCATCTAAGGGAACAGTCCTGTGACTCCTCTTTCTTGGCTACACCTCCAAATGTATCCTCAAAAACTCATATCTGAAGGCAAAGCAGGTTGGCTAGTGAGATGGATACTCTCTGCTTGGGGGGGGCGGGGGCGAGGGGGCCTACTGTTACGGAAGTCATGGCCTTGACCATATTCTGCCCTGAACTGTCAACCCAGAGCTGGTGTGATATACTGTGAACCCTCGCCACTTCGCGCTTCGACTTCCGTGGCTTCACTCTATCGCGGTTTTTACGTAACAGCACA